GAGGAGGGGGGGGGGGGGGGTTTACCTACCGCCCACAGCGCCCCCGCAGATGATGCCACACGTTGTTTCGAGGCTCGGTAGGTTGTGTCCGATGTTGAGCTTTGGCAGTCCACACTCGTGCCGCAGGGGCCACCATCCCACTTGCGAGCTGCCCAACCCCAGTTTGCTGTTTTTGTGTTTCCTGGTTGGTCCAATTCTGGAGTAAGCTGCGGGCTCTAGGTGCAATGCCGTCCCCGCGACACTCGTCGGCGCCAAGCAGGGTGACGTAGTACCAAAGATGCGCTTTAAGAGCCGGGATACATGCAGCCTCCCGTCCCAATTTGGTCCACACCGTTTTTTGCATTCCGTCGTGCCGTGGTGATCCTTCGACTTGACCCAAGAAAGCAATTACCCCCCCCCCCGAACCCGGCATGCTCCGTCCGGGCTTTGTAGGAATGCGAGGCCGATGGTCTTAACGACTGCGACATGCACGACCAATGATTTCACCCCCCCCTCCCCCCCCCGTTGCCCGTTGTTGGCTACCCTCAGGGCATCAGTTTTTTCCTGCAGATGCACCTGGACGGGGCTGGCGTGAGCGACTGCGACCACTGGCACGACGATGCCGGTGGGTGTCTTGTAGAACAGGGGCGAGCGACCTTGCTTACAAATCAAATGCAACAGCAGTGCAATGCAAATCCGATTTGTCCAGTCTCGTCGCGATCTAGGTTCTGCAGTGTTATTTTAGCCCCCATCATGTCGACGCCTAGACGCGGTCTGTTACTTTGATCGCGTGTATGCGTATGTTTGGTTGTTGTATATACGGAAGGTGTCCTTGTGTCTGAGGTTCGATTTCGAAACGTAAGCCTGGCCGTCGTTTTTGTCGCTTGCGACACGTCTGTCTACCGTTGGTCTTGTCTGGCAGGCATCATGACGCACCACGTGGGGTACACCATGCTGTTCGAGCAGGCTCTGCAGGTGGTCGATCCCTCCGTCACCATTCCGTACTGGGAGTACACCATCGAATGTACGTTTTCGTCGTAAGCTGGGGAGGACGTTCTCTCTCTCTGTTTGGTTTTGCTCGGTTTTTTTGACGGAGTGCATTTCAAGCGTCCCGCTGGCAGTTTGTTGTTCGTTTGTCGATGGCTCGTTTTGAGTCGTTGCGTGATAGAGATCCCAATATATTTGTGGATTTGTAGAGATGGGGTTCTTTGCGCTATGAATGAACAATGTATTATCGTAGCATGTGAAAAAATTGCCTCTACGGTTGCAATTTTTTTTTTCATGGGGATCATCGTTGATGTTTCGTCGGCGTCGCCGTTGTTGCAGACTCGCAAGGGCTGACGGACTACGGGGAGTCGCAGATCTTCGCTCCCGACTGGTTCGGCGACGCCTCCCCCAACAACGCCATGCACACCGTCGACAACGGCCGGTGGGCCTACCTCCCAGTGATGCAGGCGAGTACCTGCTGCACATTGATTGGTCTACCGTATCTGTTCATACAACAGTCGACAATATTTTTAGATATCACGGCGTCTGTTCGTTCCCATCGAATGTGTGTGTGTGGGTCTGGCGTGAGATATTGGCTCTCGCTCTGTGTCCGTGTTGTTGTTGTTGTTGTTGTTGCCGCACTGGTGGTAGTGGCGGTCGTTGTGCGGTACTTTTTGCTCAGCGCAGCCCGAGCGCGCTCTTTGTTTTCCTGGCCATTGTTTTTGTTTTTTCGAGGGTGCCCTTTCGTGCTCTCTCTCCCGCTCTTTCACTTGGACGAGACATTCACTCAGGATACACCCAAGAAAAACTCGTTATTTTTGCGCGCTGGGGATTACAGGCTTCACAGTTTTTTTTTAATTTTTTAACGAGTTGGCCTTGATGTATTGCGTACTCATGCGTTGTGTACATGAAGCATGTTGTACTCACCCCGCTCTTTGTCGGCGCCTCTTCGTGCCTGATTGTCACGTGTCGCAGGACGCGTGGGACTACGTGCACAACCCGTACGGCCTTCTGCGAACCCCCTGGAACACCGACCCGACGCCGTACGTCACCCGCCACAACATGACGAATGCCCAGGTATGTCTGCCGTTACATCGATGTATTCTTTTGG